AGTGACATTGGGCGCGGTTCTTTGGCGGCCGCGGCTGCAGTCGCGTTTTCTGTTCGGTGAAAGTCGATTCGCGAACCATTCTCCTTCTCGTCCCTTCTTCGTTTCGCTGCACTTCGTTTTGCACGACTTGGAGAGACGAACGAAGAGAGAAAGAGAGAGAACGATGCCGCTTTTTCGCGACGTTGTAATCCGAATTACGTGTTATTCTTTTCTGAAACTTCTGTTTTATTCGAGGAATGACCGATGTGGTTCCTGGGCGACCGACGTGTCTCCGCAAATAATAGCTTACGTCTTACACAATCTTTCGTAATAAACGATGCAAGCGAGCATCGCGATACTGGAATTCTAATTGATTTACATATATGTTAGTCAAAATTTATGTTAATTAAAATTTGTTTTATATTAATCGTCATATGTTATACAGGTGTTTGCGTAACATATAAAATAAAAAGGTGTACCTACAAGGAAAGTATGATTTTATTGTAGTATTTAAAATGATTAGCTAGATTAGCTTATTGTTAGATAAATCTAAAAATAATTTTGTTGCGCTATTAAAATAATTTATAAGGCGTTGAAGGTGGTTGCTAAAATGTTAAAACCTTTACAGCTCTCTCATGCTTGAGTTTCTTACATAATTATTTTAATGGTTTAACAAAATTATGTATTTTCAGATCTGTATCTATCTAAATTTTCAGAGATTTCAACAAAAAAACCAATGTTTTTTTTCCCAAGAAATGATTTTTTTAAGTGTGTTCTACTATTAAAAAAAAAGAGAATTCTTTTATTTAAAGAATTAAAGAGAGATTTAATTCTATATATATAATTTATAACACAAAAAATACAAATATTTTATTGAAAAAATGATAATTACCAATTTTGATGCGATTCATATTTATATTTTTTATATTCATATAATATAAGTTTCTGTATTTTTACTATTTCTGTTTTATGTCCTTACTTTTGCTAGTACAATAAATGATTGAAAATAAGTTGGCGATCAAATATTGTAGATAAGACATAATTTAAAAATTGTACACAAATATGTTTCTTTAAAATTCTTTTACTCGATTTTATTTAATGATTTTTGTGTTAGAGAAGTTATTACAGTAGTCGACATCGCTCACTGGGCAGACATCTAGTGCGGCCGCGTCTACTTGTCTGATTCGCGTTGACCTTTACTACTTACTCTGTGGAAAGAGATATTTAAAATACAAAATATTTTTTAAATTATTTCAAGTATTATATATATATATATATATA